ACCTATTCAGAAGTCACACTTAAAATTGCTTATAGCATTATTGAATGTTTCATATCATTCCAGTTCTTGAAATATTTTGCCCTCTAACTCTTTTCCTCTACTCATTATCGATATATGAATAGGGTGAATTGAGCGCTTTCCTCCAAAAACTGAATTATTACCTTCCTTAATAGTTATAATAAATTGCTCATAAACTCACATCCACCCGATAGCTCTAGAGCAGGGGTATTAAACTCAATTTCATTGAGGGCCGCATCGGGGGGGGGAGCGTGGCCAGGGGGGCGTAGCCAGCTTGATGTCACTTGAGTCAGGATCACTTGTGGTGACCCGAGCACTCTGCCAGCGAAAACGGGCTCCCAAGATCCGTTTTTGGCTGCAACAGCCTCCTGCAATCCTCTGCCAGCAAAAATGGAGCTTGGGAGAGCTGCATATGGTCCCCACAAGGTCCATTTTCAGCTGCAATGGTCTCCTGCAACCCTCTGCCAGCAAAAACGGAGGTTGGGAGGGCCATGTGCAGTACTCCCGAGCTCCATTTTCACTGGCAGAGGCCCCGCAGGCCAGTCCTTTGCTGTTTCCAGGGTGGCCCCGCAGACCAGATCTAAGCACCCTGTGGGCTGGATCTGGCCCTCTGGGCCTTGAGTTTGATACGCCTGCTCTAGAGCTTGAGCCAGAAGTACATTTAAGATCAAGCCTCAAAATACACTAGTCAGGGAACACATTTGTTGAAGCAAGTTATCATGGATAACTAATAGGCACACTTCTAGTAATATTTATGAAGGAGAGAGAAGGACATAAAAGAGGACCAATTTGCTCTAGTGGTTAACACACCACACTAGAAACCAGACAACTGTGAGTTCTAGTACCAGCTTAATCATGAAAGCCAGTTGGGTGACTCTGGCCCAGTTACTCTCAACCTACAACATCAGGATTGAGCAACAATCTGGTCATTCAATTCTTGTCATAACTAATGGAACACTCTATGGGTAACCTTCGATTTACAACCACAATTGAGCTCAAAATTTCTGTTTTTAATTGAGATACTCAGTTGTTGAGTGAATTTGGGCCCATTTTATGGCCTTTCTTGCCACATTTGTTAGTGAAATCACTGCAGTTGTAACATGGTTATTTAGTGAATCTGGCTTCCCCATTGACTTTGGTTGTCAGAAGGTTGCAGAAGAGGATCACATGACCCTGGACACTGGAACTACCGTAAATATGAGCATCCAAACTTTGATCATATGACCATGGGGATGCTGCATAGGTCACAAGGATGAAAAACAGTCATAAATCATTTTTTTCCAGTGCTATTGTAACTTTGGTCACTAAACTAAAGGTTGTAAGAAGAGGACCACTGGTATTGATTTTTAAAAAAGCACTTGCAGGAAAATAGCCCTGTTGGAACAGTTCGAAGCCAGATTTCTCAGAGTCCCCAACCATATGGCTATGAATTATTGCAAATAGGCAAGCAAGACATTTTCTTTTTCCTGTGTTGTTCCCCTTCCACTAGTGTATTGGTAAGCATGTGCATAACCAGAATTTAAAGTGAGCCTTTAATTTGTATCACTTGATAAGAATTGTTCTTCATGAATTCAGCCCTCTTTTAAAGCTATAGAAAAGAGTGGCCATCACCAGTCTACTGGTAATGAATTCTAGAGATTAATTACTTGTTCAGTAAAGGGGTTCTTGCCTGTTCTAAACATCTAAATCAGCATCATCAGATGATACCTTGTCATATATTAAAAGGGAAAAACTTTTCCTGTCCTTTTTTTCTATATCTTACATAATCATAACCCTACCCTTGGGCCAAGCTGAAATCTGAAATATCCTAGTCTTTTCTCACATGAAGAATCTTGCCCTGATTAGTCATATTTTTGTGTGTCCTTTTGTACTTTTTTTGAGTTTATATTTGTACCTTAAATGTGGTGAACAGGACTTGCATACTCTATACTAGATGCAGATTTGCAGTAGATCCATATAATAATCTATTGCAAATCTGAAAGCTCAAACTGCCCAAGAAGCTGCTGATCCAGTTCTACAGAGGAATTATTGAGTCTGTCATCTGCACCTCTATAACTGTCTGATTTGGTTCTGCAACCCAACAAGACAGACACAGACTTCAGAGGATAATTAGAACTGCAGAAAAAACAATTGCTACCAACCTGCCTTCCATTGAGGACCTGTATACTGCATGAGTCAAAAAGAGGGCTGTGAAAATATTTACAGACCCCTCGCATCCTGGACATAAACTGTTTCAACTCTTACCCTCAAAACGACGCTATAGAGCACTGCACACCAGAACAACTAGACACAAGAACAGTTTTTTCCCGAACGCCATCACTCTGCTAAACAAATAATTCCCTCAACACTGTCAAACTATTTACTAAGTCTGCACTACTATTAATCTTCCCATCTTCCCATCTTCTCATCGTTCCCATCACCCATCTCCTCCCACTTATGACTGTATGACTGTAACCTTGTTGCTGGTATCCTTACAAATTTATATTGATATTGTTTCCTGATTGCTTATTTGTACCCTATGACTATCATTAAGTGTTGTACCTTACGATTCTTGATGAACGTATCTTTTCTTTTATGTACACTGACAGCATATGCACCAAGATAAATTCCTTGTGTGTCCAATCACACTTGGCCAATAAAAATTCTATTCCATTCCATTCCATGATTAGCAGTTTTATTTTCAAATTCCTTTCCTAATGAATTCTACTATAGCATTTGCTTTTTTCATCACTGCTGCACACTGATGTCTTCACTGAGCTATTTACTATGGACCTCAAAATCTTTTCCCTTGACAACTGAGACTCAGGTCCTAGCTGTGTAAATGCAAAATTAAGAGTAGCTTTTGTTCTAATATGCATCACTTTACATTTCTTAAATTAAACTGACTGACCATGCTTAAAGAAATTCTACTGAAACTTTTCAAATCACTTTTGGATTTTACCATCCCTGTATAGCTTCCTATTGTCCATAAACTTGATCAGTGCTTAGCTTTAAATCAAGTCACTTTACTTTTAAAACATTTAATCGCTTTAAATGCTAATCAAGCTAAACATTGACAGTTTATGTACTCATTTTTAGACTGATATCCTATTATTCTTCAGGCACAAAAAGCAGTATATGTAGCATCCTCTCCAAGCTTTCTGCACAACAGGTAATATTTGCATGATACACTAACTCGCAGTTATCTATGGTAGACTTAAATACATTACCTAACTTTTTCAGTTGGTATGGTATTACTGTGTCATAAGCTATCCACAGAGGCTGGGTTCATATAACATGCTCAGTTGATAAGTTTGTGACTCAATGTGTCACATGATACAGACACTATCTGGTCACGTGAGCTTCTACTGCTAAGAATGGATTTGAACCTATATCCTGATCCAATACCTTAATGATTATAATCTCTTGTAATCAGATTCCTTTTAATTCAAATCTATACTTTTGATTTATTGGATTCTGATTTAACAATGCTGGAACATTTTGCTTGATAAGTTACAAATATGCTAATAAAACATGGGGGGGGCAGAAATATCAAACAAGATGATGGACAGCATCTATGTTTAAAGAGCTTATCTGTCATTACTACTGGCAACAAAAACAAGGTCCCCATGATTTCCAAGTCTGCAGAGCACGAGATAGTGGCAGGGAAAACTTTGCAGATTTTTGACAACTTTGTAGAATTGTCAAGTTAACTACACCTGCTAGTTCTCTTCCAAAGGCACATCACAGAATTCAGATCTCAATCTAGAAACCCACTTACCTGTCATCTAAGATAATTTCTGAATAATAACTATGTACATCAACAAATAGCTATTGTCCCTTTCAACTGTTTACTTTTCTGCAAAATCATTAATATTGCACCCATTGAGCATTCCAAAAAGTTTTATACATTTATCACATCTCTGACTGAAAAGCCAATGCGCTGAATATGGACAGGTGTTTAGATCTTTTAACCTGAAAAAACAGCAAGTTTCTTGCCTGTGGCCTACCCAGGTTCGATTCTCACCAAACTTCATCAAAATATAAAGCTACCTTCTTTAGTCACAATCATCATACCAGACTGATGAGCTTTAGCATCGTTTCACCTTTCACCAATTATTCAACCTAATTCTTTGCCTTCCAGGAAAGGGGATCAGGATGAAGACTCTTACCTGTTGGCCTCAGTAAATAACTTCTGCCACTTTGTTCTTTATCAAGATAAATAGGAGTAAACCAATGACCCGGACAGTATAGTGGGCAGGGATCATTACAGAAACAAAATAAGATAACACCTCTCCCCACTCCATTAGCATTCTTGGTCCCTTCTACTTGTTTTCCCCTTTGAAAAGCAGCAACAGCACTCACAGCTCACTATTTGGCAGCATCTCTCCGTCTTGCAATCCTTTCCCCCTTACGCAGCTGCACCAGGATCATTATTCCGCAAGGCCCCTGCAGCAACATTATACGCAGGCGCAACAGAAGAGGGGTGGGAGGAGAAGGAAAGAAAAGCCAGGAAGCTGCAGGATGTGACTGTTCCTCTTTCATTCCCTTCAGCGCAGGCGCAAAGGAGCGGCATGCCACAAACTTTTTGCACCGCATGCGTGCCCTGGAATTAACCTGAGCCTCCCTCCCTCCCTCCCACAACGATTTCAGTCAAGGCGCCTGCGCAATCTCTGCCAGCCTTTGAATGAACGCGCATGGGCTACACTCCGAACGGACGAAACTACACCATAGCGCATGCGCGACCCTCAACCGAGGTTTTTAGCCTTCCGCCCCGCCCCTTCTTCTTGCGTCAGGGCCTTTGGCTCATTGTTTTGCAATCAGTTGCCTATCAGCGTTATATATTACTCCCTTTGTCCCTATGATGTGGTGAGTTATACCTGTCACCCGTTCCACCTCACCTGCAAACGATACGCAATAGCTGCATCCGTCCCCTTGTGGTCTCTCCATAACGCCCTGACCTGACACATCCGGGACTCTTGGTGACGTTACCACGACGCCTCGTTCATTCAACGGCAGACGGGGGAGGAGACTGGGAGGTGGCGCCATTGCGCAGGCGCAAGAGAGATCGGTCACACCAAAAATGGCGGGAAAGAAATAACGTCGAGGCTTCCCTTTAGAATGATCAGCACACTATTGGGAATAGTACAGGAGACACCAGGAACGAAGGAAAACAATCAAAGGTGGGATCACGTTTCGGCATTATTATCGAAAGTAGTATTCAATGGGCCTATTAAAAGCACACCCGATTTTAATGCAGCGATTGCTATGAGGCTAAATTACAAATAAGGTGCTCTCCAAATACAACTCATAAACGCGTTTTTAACTATCTTCTAATAACGTTGAATGTCAAAGATCATGCTGCCACCGAGAAGCGAAGGGGAACAAAGCAAGCATAGCGTTACCTGAGACAACGTGCTTTTCTGAGATCCATTCTTCCCTATGGAACCTGAAAGGGGGCAGCCTCTATGCCGTTGGCTTTTGGCAAGGCTGTGAAGACCTGGCTCTTCGCCCAGGAATTTGTGTCTGGATATTAGCATCCGTAACTAATAGCTTTGGAGCTTTATTAAACCTTGGTGTATTGCCCTAAATTTTAGGCTTCATTATTAGCATTTTAAAAGGTGATGGTACTTTAAATATGGCTGTCTAGGCCCCTTTTTAAACTTCAGAAAAAACATGCATTTTTCTTGCATTGTCCTTGCAATCAGATGCCAATTGTAACACTCTCCGGACCTTTTTCTTATAGTCTGACGAAGAAGCAAAATTAAGCCTTTTAAGAGTACTTGAAGAAACATCATTGTTCAGCATTCTGATGAAACTTATGATTCATTTGATATCAAGGATTGAAAGAATTTTCAAGCGTGCAGAGCTTAATATTAAGAGTGAAAAAGACTTTCAAGTTATAGCATTTTTCTTTTTGTGAATAAATTTGTCACAGACATTTACATTTTTTCCTTAAATATTGCTCAAGTTGGAGTAATAAGCCAAATGGAAACAATTGGATGAACATAGCAAGACTAATTTGATGGTATTAAAGCTAATAGAAGATTTGGTATCCAAATGCCACTACTGTGTTACCATGCTATTACAATCACAATCTTTATTTTATTTAAGAATAAATTTGTCTTTGTTTACCTGTCTCTCTACCTGTTGAATGGTTTGCTTGAATTCCACATAAACATTCCTACTTGTATAATAGAGTCATATTCTTTCCCCAGCTGAAAAGTGAAGAGGAAAATTCATGTGTCCCTGTAGGGCAGGGAGTTTTGTTGTTACATTATCAATGTTAAGGCATCACTGCTACAGTTGCACCGTTTCTTGTGGAGCAGTAGTTGCCTAAAAGCTTTGGCTACTGCTGTCCTTTCTGTTCAAATATCAAAAGACTTGGTTATGGGTTTTCCATAAACTAGGTTTTGGGTGTTTGTTTGTTTTTTGTTTCTCATAAGCAAATTTTGTTTCTCTCCTGAACGGAACCCTTGTTACCTTACTTGGGAGCCTGAATAGTTGAATTTACTGACTTAATTCATGTTTGTTGTATTGCCTTAGACAAAACTGTTAATATCTTCACTATGTTTTTGGTGTTTGCCATGCTAAAGATGCCTTATGGTAGCTGAGAGGAATCTTGACCTCAGGCTGCCAAATTGCTCACAAAGACCAGGTGGTTTCATTATTGGATGGACTTCTTTGTTTTATGAAAGACAATCACTTTGCTGATCTGAATGCTAATTAATCTTTCCATCTATCTTTAAAGTTATTTCTGCTATTGCTTATGAGAAGTTTTTGCAGATGCTGGGATTGCCACTTGCAATGTCTAGAATATAATATAATTGAATTGAACTGAATTCTTTATTGGCCAAGTATGATTGGACACATAAGGAATCTGTCTTCAGTGCATAAGTTCTCAGTGTACATAAAAGCTACAAGTGCATCTTGATACGGTTCTGCATGGTTCCCAATGGGCACCCAATTTCCCTACCTACTTTTCTTCATCTTCTGACTCACCAATTAAGTGTGAAAGGACATTGTGGTACCGAAACTATTATAGACTGGCTTATTCCTGGAACCTTTGTGGAAATTTCCAAGAGCTTCTTCTAGACGAAGTTGGGGGGGGGGGGGGGGTTGCTTCTCTGCTAGTTCAGTGCATCCATGGCTGAGGAAATGAATTAACTGCCAAACAGTTTCTACCCTTAGAGAAGCAGCACTGAGAGCTGTGGACAGCAATGGGAGCTACAGTTCCCCTGAGTGATCAGTTCCAGCAGTGAGAATTTATACTGCTTAAAATTTCCATCACAGGACTCTCAATCCAATCTTGGAGAGTGCATTCCAGATTTTTGCTACCTAACCCACTGACAAGAAGAAAAAGGTCCTTGGATTCCTCATATGTGGAAATTGTCAGATTCTTGGAACTTGCCACAAATAATCTTTCTAGACTTACTACTTTTTTTTAAAAAAAAAAAACATGATTTCCTTGGACCTATGCTTATGTTGCTACTTTTACAATATTTTTTATGCTGCAAATGGGGGTTGGACAGGAGGGGACAGCAAAATTCCTAGTCATCCCAAGCAGCATGTGATTGATAATTCTGGCCTGTAAAATAGAATTGTATTAGTTCTTAGAGGTGAAATATCCTCTTTTTCTTGCGCTGTAAGTACTGATTGGTGGGTAAATCAAATTATTGTATTTGATTTCAGTGTAATGCAGGAACACTCCAATGTCCCAATTTATTTTCAAAGGACATCAGTTGCCCAAATATACATGTGTGTTTCTGCCATGCTTGTATTAATCCAACTAATTTTGAAACAACTTGGATACAGTATTAAAATGCAAACTTGCACAGGGCAATAACAAAACATAAGGGCACTTATTCTTAGCCAAGACCATTTTTGCTGGTATGCAAAAAAACTTGTCTTTTTAGAATTAAACAATAGAGAACAACTTCTGAAAGTCCTTGTATATACTTGCAAGTTTTAAGAAAGATAAAACTCAGCTGGAAGACTATAATGTAACCCATAATTTGCATCTTTTATATCATGTTTTCTATTCAAGTCTTATGCAATGAGCATCTTCTACTGTTTATTTGTTTTCTGACATATTGCATATACCAAATGTACATATTATTTATTTTTGTACCTTATAATAAACCTTGGCAGACACACACCCCTTAATAAATGCTTTGCCTGAATTACTTGGTAATTATATATTTTTGGGTGTAAAATGTCCCTTTGCATAGGTCTCTCAAATTTAGGGTGCCTGAGTTTGGAGGCATCAGGTACAGTTTTCAATGGTTTTTGTTTTAATGAAATTCTCTGTTTATATTTTGTTTGATGCCCTGTTTTTGGATTGGTGGATGGCCAAATAAATTGGGTAATATGCAGGAATAGTACAAGTTTACATATATGTGTGTGTGTGTGTGTGTGTGTGTGTGTGTATGTTTTCTCAGGTTTTCGCGGGTGTTTGTATGTAGGTCTTTGGTTATTCGGGTTTTCTCCCACGTAAAATTGGAAGTGTCTTGGCGACATTTCGACGAAGTCTCATTCGTCATCTTCAGGCTGGTGTTCTCGGCTTCGTGCTTCCAGGAGCAATGTGAGACCGCAGCTGTCTCTTCCTTTTAACTGCTAGTGGAGGTGTGAGCTGATTGGGTGGGAACTTGGCTGTGTTCTGATTGGGTGGAGGTGTGTTCTGATTGGTTAGGGGCTTGGCTGTGCTCTGATTGGCTGGGGTTGTGTTCTGTTTGGGTGGGGGCTTGGTTGTGCTCAGCTTAGTCTGAGTTGCAGGGGGATTTGAGCTGGTGAGCTGCGTTGTTGTTGTTTGGCTTCATGTTTGTGGCCGTGCGAGCTCTTCATGGTGGGTGTCAGTCTGCTTCATATATGGATTGGAGGGGTTTAAAGTGGCTAATGATGCAGCTGCGGTCTGGCTTCTGGTCCTTGGTCGTGGCTCATTATCAGTGTGGGTTTGAGTCTGCTTTCTGTGTGGATGTGTGGTGGTGACATCAGGTGTGGCACTCGTGAGTGTGGGTCTGGTGTCATTCGTCGTGTTAGGGACTCGTTTGTCAATAAGGGCGGGTTTCCAAATGGCTGGTAGGCGGGAGGTATCGTCTCGTTTGTTCATGCTGTGTGGGCGTTTTTCTATCTCGATGGCTTCTCTGATTATTCTGTTGTTAAAGTGTTCAGTTTTGGCGATAGTTCTGGTCTTTTTAAAGTCAATATCATGTCCTGTGGCTTTAAGGTGTTGGACCAGGGAAGAAGTTGGTTCCTCTTTTCTGACTGAGTTCTTGTGTTCTTCTATGCGTGCACTTATTCGTCTGTTGGTTTGTCCGATGTATGTGGTGGGGCAGGCGGTGCATGGGATTTCATATACTCCTTGATTTTCTAACTCAATTTTGTCTTTGGGGTTCCTTAGGATGGTGGATATTTTTCGGTTTGTGCAGAATGCTGTCTTGGTGTTATGTTTGTGGAGGATTTTGCTTATTCTGTCTGTGGTGCCTTTTATGTATGGGAGGAGGGCCTTGCCGTTTTCTTGTTCTCTGTCTTGGATTTTAGTGGGGGTTTCTTTTTGGATTAGGTTGGTGATCTTATTTCTTTGGAATCCATTGGATGTGAGTACGTTAGTGAGGGTGTGTAGTTCGGTTTTTAGGTGTTGTTCGTCAGCTAAGCGTTTTGTTCTGGAAATGAGTGTCTTGGCTACAGAGTTGATCTGGGCAGGGTGGTGGTGTGAGAGTGCGTGCAGATAGCGGTTTGTGTGTGTTTTCTTCTGGTATATAGTGTGTCCTAGGGAGCCATTGGATTTTCTGTAGACTAAGACTTCCAGGAAGGGAAGTTGGTTGTTCACTTCTGTTTCCATGGTGAACTGTATTTTGGGGTGTAGGCTGTTGAGGTGTGTGAGGAAGTTGTCCAGTTTTTCTTTCCCATGTGGCCAGATTATGAAGGTGTCGTCCACATATCTGAGCCAGAGTTTGGGTTTGTGATCGGATTTTTCTAGAGCTTGGGTTTCAAAGTATTCCATATAGAGGTTGGCAATGACAGGTGAGAGGGGTGATCCCATGGGTGCTCCTTCTGTTTGTTTGTATTTCTGTCCATTATAGATGAAGTATGTGTTGGATAGGCAGTGGTTGGTCAGATCTAAGATGTGCTTGGGGGGGTTATATTTGTTTTGGATAACTGTCAAGGCTTCTTTGATTGGTACTTGGGTGAAGAGGGATATGACATCGAAGCTCACGAGTAGGTCACTGGGCTGTAAGTTTTGTTGCTTTATGATGTCTATGAACTGGAATGAGTTTTTTACGTATGAGGTGATGGATTCTGCATAGGGCTGTAGTTGTTTGGCAAGAAATTTGGCTAGGTTTTGTAGAGGTGAGCCTATGGAGCTGACTATGGGTCTAAGTGGGGTTCCTTCTTTGTGTATCTTGGGGAGACCATAAAGCTTAGGGCATCTGGATGATTTCTCTCTGGGTATGATTCTTTGCTGAATCTCTTCACTGATGGGGGAGGCTTTTATTTTGGATCTGGTGGTTTTTTCCAGGTAGGTGGTGGGGTCTGTGTTTAGGGGTTTGTATATGGAGTCTTGGAGTAGGTTGGTTAACTTGGTTTGGTAGTCAGATGTGTTCATAACCACCGTGGCATTGCCCTTGTCTGCTGGTAGGATTATTATGCTGGTGTCTTCTTTCAGGTTAAGTAGTTAAAATAATTAAATGACAACTGATGGGGATCTGGGTTTAATACCTTAAAGGCTATTATAGATAGCATCTTTTCCAGTGCGCTGCTTCCTACATTCCATGGCTGGGACTTCACTTCCTTGTAGCTGATTACTGGGTGTTAGATATTCAAATTTTTTACTCTGGTCTCCGCCCCTTTATGCTGATTACTTCAGTCTTTTCACTCAGTAGCTGAGTACAGTGGTGTTTTGGTTTCTCTCTGTTCTTATTCGTGAGTTATTGTGTTATTTATTTAATTATTTAATCTATTTAATTTATTTAAGTTCATTTGAGTTAATTTATTCACTTGATTAATTAATTGATTGATTTAATTGATTTAATTTACTTTAAGTTGATTTAATAATTCATTTCTAGTTATGCTGGGACTGTATTTATTCTTGCATTGGACAATTACTGCTGCTACTTATAGGTTTGGAATTTATATGTCC